AGTAGGGACTCGTTGTCTCTCCTGGACTTTAATGACTGCTTTTATCCCCACTGAGTGAAAAGCCTCCTTTAAGTCGATGCAAGTGAGACAGAGCGATCTTTTGTACTCTGGCGATAATTCAGTGAGCCTTGCTATTGTATGGATGTGGTCCATAGTACTAAATCCTTTTCGAAACCCTGTAGGCTCACATGGCTGTCCTTCTTCGAATGTTCTGTCAAGTCTGTTTATGGTGAATCCAGTGAAAAGTTTGAGGACGACAGACAGAAAGTAGATTGTGCGACAGTTGCAGATATCGCGGAAGTCACGCTTCTTGAGCGATCTGAACGAACGATCAGCACGGTCTTGTTGGTCTTCCACTGAGTAGGAGATTTGGAAAAGTAACGTCTGATAAGGAGAGAAAGTGTGTTTAGGAGGAATGGGAAGGTTCTTCAAGTGCTCATATCTTAACGTGCCTCGACCTGTCTTTTGTCGATTCTTCAGCGACGAAATAGGATTCCAGAAGGGAGAAGCGGTAGTGCTACGTATCCATCCTTTTTCACTTCGCATGGGATTAGAAGCACAGGGCTATTGACGAAATTCGCGAATAATTTTCTCCATTGCCTTCCTGGTAGCTGTAACTCTTCCCCTCGACGTCGGAGTGCTATCGTCTCGGTTTTATAATCGGCGAAGCTTCGTTGAGCTTCGAGAATGCCTCTTCTAGCCACTGCGGCCACTCCAAACATAACTGCCTCTCTTCTTTCTTTAAGATCTTCCTTTATTAGCTCTATTTATTGTTTTGCAAATTCGAACATTAGTTCGAGGTTGCCTGCAGCTAATGCGATTCCACGCTGGCGTATCAGCACGGGTGTTTCTGGAGACAAACGTCTCTTGGTAACTTGCAAACTCTCAGCTTTCACAGCGCTAACGTGAAGATGTTGAATAAGCCGATCGTATTCTTCATCGATGTTATCGACAACGACATCTTCCCAACGGCCGACTAATGAATTGAATTTCTCGGTCTTGAGTTTTGGAATTTAGCCGCTTTTTCTTCTTTCCGCAAGAAATAGAATCTTGCACGAAGGAGACGACGGTCTGATCCCGTGTAGAATTTTTAGACAACAGCAACATCGGTTGGGCAAAACTTTCTATTTACTATGATGTGGTCTATTTCGTTTGGTCGCCATGACAAGCTCAGACAGCCGCTCACTCTGGTTCGTTCCATTCTAATCCGTGGGTCCCAGTGTGACGTTCTTCAAACGTTCTTCTTAGCCTAATCTTGGCGTTGAAATCTCCAATGATGACCTTGAAGAATGTGTGGTCTTCTCTGTAGAACATCTCCAAGTCCACATAGAACGCTTCGACTCCTTCTTCATCATAGTTTGATGTCGGCGCGTAAACGATGAAGATTTTCAAGGCCGGAATTGATTCACGGCTTCTTAATCGTCAACGTGTGATTCGGGTTGTAAGTTACTCAAATGAATCAATGTTCATGGACAAACTTGTGTAGACGAGAACGCCGACGATGCCGACTCCTCTAATGTCGCATGTTCCGAGGAACAGTTCTTCTCCGGTGTCATGCAGGGCGTTGAAAGGCTGGCGTCTCCTCGTCTCGGCCAGGCCGATGACGTCGTACTTTATCCTTCTTGCTTGCATGAGCAAGTCTTCAATAGAGAACTCGGATGCAAGTGTACGGTACAGATCATCACCATAGTTTTTTTTTTTGAAATCCAGGCAGGTTCCCCTAGCCCTGAGATTTTAGCAGCCTCTCCGTACTCGTCCAACCAAATGCTGCGAAAATGAGGGCTCCTTCGTGGTCAGGGGAATGAGGCCCGCTTCTTTAGCCGTTTTGAGCTTCTTAATGCCCACGCATAGCTTGCTGGGCTCCGATTGTGTGGGCTGGGTATACTCACGGGTAGCTTTCCAGGGTGTGCCAGAGTGGATATGGAGCTCAATTGTAGAAGGCGACTCCTAACCGCCTCCCATATACTTCCCTGCCACTTGATTGCAGGCTTTTGTCCGAATTGACTAGTGGAATACAATCCGCATAAACTCGAACGCACCCACACACGCGTTGATGAATACGCTTCTTAAATGCAGAATGTATGTACCAAATCGGCGCAGCAGAAAGAGTGAGTCCATCCTCTAAATCCAGCTGCGCCTCAGGGAAAGATACGGTCGCTTTTGGTCAGCGATTAACCCGCTATCCGCTATCTGGGGACGCGCCACGTATCCTCGCATCCTCGCGACTAACCGACTCGAGATCCATCGTATTAGAGAGGTTTGTGGAATGAACTGGATAGAACTATTAAAGCAGTAACAAAAGTACCTAGTGCTCATAGAGTGCCCGAATGCTGTCGCAAGATCGATCAAGGGCCTCCGTGGAGCACTGTGTAATACGCGAGCGCACGTAGAAGGAAATCGCAGATCGATCTGGCCCGTGGTCCAAGTTTTGCGAATGCTTCAGCATCGTTGTGGTTGAGTTCGCATAATACCCTGCTGTGAAAATTGTAGTAGGCATTTAATAGAAAAGTAAACATTGTCACAACATCGATAAGACAGGATGTCTTACATTCCCACGGTCGATAGAGATAATGGAAAAAAGCACAGGGACTATCGGCATGACAACCAATCCATATTTATTTGGACACTTATACGCTACATATTTACGACTAGTACAGACATCAGCACGTTTTCCATTCCTTTCCTTCTTAAGCAATCGCTGTCTATGATGTTGGTTTGATCCGAGCATAGTGATGCGCGCAAGTCTCATACCGTTATCTGCGAAACATCTGAGGCTGCCCATTACAGCTATTTGACTTTAGCTACGAACAAGTACGCTCAACACGTAGGTGGTCATCCTAGGAGACGTACGCATCTTCATGAAGTCCACTCTACAGTTTTTTTCGTACACCTGCTTTTCTCAATATATGAGCAGCCCATCTATGTCAGGTAATCGATGTGTATTTTGCTGGATCATGAAAATGAGATAGATTTCGAGGATCAGAGCTTTGCATTGCGGCTAGATATTGTGTATGCTATTTATATTTCCGTAGGTATCGTTTAACCACTTCGCGGTTGGTGTGCAGAATTCTTGACATGGTGAAAGCAATAACTTTCGTCTTCGCTTCATAATAGATCGCTTAGAGGACCGCTAAGTCGAAAAATTGCGGTTTATTGGGTTCCTAGTTAGCTGGTGGTTAGATCCTATTCACCCCGTTATGCTCTATTTCTTTTTCGCAGTGCTTAGCTTGTGCTGCTGTCTATGTTCACTGAACGGCACAGGTGCATGTATGAGGTGGTGGCTGTAATCAACGAAACTTACAGTTCAACTTGTTCGTCTTCGCACTGTGAGTGTTTCAAGAAATTATTCCCTCTCCGATTTATGCGTATTCCGATCTTTTTCCTCGTTTCAACGAGCTCATTGATTGTCATCTCAATTTCATTGGTATTTGTTGAATAATCATTGGTGGCATTTACGGAAAAGAAGAGCATCTAGGGAAAATCACACTGAAAATCTTATCGACCTTAGAACATTGTTTATTAAATCATTTTCTGCAGGTTAGCCTATGATGACAGGAAATTCTGTTTTAAAAGTCGGACGACTGCCTAAGAAGGGCGGAATTAATCGTAATTTTCTGCTATTACCGGCGAACGCTAACCCTAATGAAGCCCTGGAATGTCTTCCAAAGAAATAACAGCATCCGACAACCAAAAGTTTGGGCCCGAATTAATTTTGGAAGGGTTGCACGAGTTGCAAAAAACTGATCACCGTTTACACATGCACATTCCTATGTATAGACAATGTGCGTGCGTTTTATGGTTATTGTGTCAATACGCGTCTCACAATAAGTTTATTAGCGAAGGAAATAACCACTTTCCACAAAACCCGGGGCAGACTTTTTCCTGAAATTCCAGATTGTAGTCGCTTGATCGAAGAAAGCCTTCTTCGCGTAGAATGGCGCACCTAAACAATGTTTCTGATAATGTGGGAGTATTACTACTAGTTACTAGCACATACAGGAGACAGCCGTAGCAACACTCTCTGCCCTCGGTAGTTGGACGAGTTGTTGGCTTAGATGTTGAGTCAGTTACCAGCTCACTTTTTGAATCTGCATTTTATCAAATTATGTCAAGTGATCTTAGTAACACGTTAAAAGGTGAAGATGAAAGCATTACAGATTCGACAGCGCAGAAGCGATGTGACTTCGTAAAGTCTGCTACAAGTAATTACAGGAACCATGTTGGTGACAGAGACCGGAGAAGTGCCACCGTAATCCGGAGAGCAGAATCAAAACACTTACGATGTATTGTAGATGATCAGTCACAAAATTCTTTGGCAGTGAAAACTTACCTATAACCAGCCTGATGTTGATCTTTTAAGGTTTTGATTCCAACACCGGCCCATACGCAACCGTCTTGAGCCAAATTCTTTGTGTTGTTTTGAAAGATCGCTTCAGTGTTGAACCAGTCGTTGAAACCTTAAGCAAGTGTTCGTCGTTTTCAATCAACTCATTTACAGACTGACAAACTGTAATCCAGTAACAGCAATAGTAAAAATCGTCGTTGTCACCATAAGAGTCATAATTCTTCTGCCGCGCCCCCCACGTCCCACGATTCCTGGTAATCGTCTGTTACTGTAAGCTCTTTACCTCACCCAGGTGGCTGGAAGAAAGCGAGCTGATCTGCTGTTCGCTTTATAGAAGAGAGTGTCAAAATTTTAACTTTTTCACTCTTTGATTACAGAGTTTTTCGCCATGTGCTCTAGGACAAATGCATTTCGGGCAGTTTCTTGGATGAGGAAACCCACCATTCTCGCATTTCGCCGAAGACCCATTGGTGCACTTGTCTAAAAAAAATGTGGTTTTACTCGAAAACAGTGTCATGTCAATAGGCCAAACAGCTTTATAGCAACGTTCTCACCGAGGCATTTGTAGTGCAAGTTAACCATATGTTTCTCGTAGAAAGAAAGAATGTATGAACCCAGGGCAGGCAAAACTTTAACGCTTTGCCATTTTTTGTCACTAAAACACTGAAAATTTGGCCAACGCCGTTGTTCCGTAATGCATAACAGTTCCGTAATCGTAGGTGATGTTGTAATTGTAGTTGGTACGTTCAGATTCTTTAGCAAACTGGTCTTTCCAACCATCCTTAAATTACACTGTTTTAGCGAAGAAATGCGCTGCCCGCTAAGTCGTGACTTACGAGGACGTTCTTCAAGCGAACTTCTATGAAATTGTCACGATCGTGTTTCGCTGGCGTGTGGTAGCGACCAATGGCGTAGCCGAGCTCGTGCAGCTCCAATCCAGTCTAGGCGATACGAGGACGAATATGTTTCAATTAAAACCTCTTCCTCCGTAGATGCCAAGAAACACGTCGTCGAAAATACGAAGTCACAAGAATCCCTAGTGAGAGAATCTGAACTCCACCAATTCTTCCGAGATGTGACCAAGACGATGCCCCGTATATAACCCAGACTACGTCATCAGCTAGAAACATAGTTATTCACTGCCTATTAAGTCTTTAAAAAAACCAGCAAATTCCTATTTTACTTTCTGCTCATCTGAGCTGTCCTCTTTGAATTCAAGACAGGTATTCTCACTCCACATTTTGGTAGCCTTTGTTAACACTCGCCTCGCCTTGAAGTTAACACTCGCCTTACTTGAAGTTGTTGGTGAAGAACATGACCAACTCCTGTCTGACAGAGATGTGCAAAAAAATGCAGAAGACGAACTTGCATTCCAGAATGCGTAATTTATTCCATTAGACCACAAGGTTTTAGGATATTTTTCATCACGATAAGCTTGTCGTTTTTTGCGACTTCCCTCGCTGTCTATAATGTCTTCCCAGATCTCTTCGGTTTGTTGTCTGAAAGCAAAAATAAAACAATGAGGGAACGAAGTTGCTTACGAGCAAAGCTCTAAAAATGAAAGAACCCGGTTAGCATCATGTCTTCTTGGAAGAGTGCAAATCCGACTTTGCTGTCCATGTTGATTTCTGCAGCTGAAAAACCTGCACACGCACGCTTTCTGCATACTTCTGAAAATTCATTTTTATTGTCTTCTGATGCCTTTACAAGAGATTATGTGCTTGCCTCCTCCGCTCTCAATACATCCTCACTCGGCTGTTCAGACGCAATGTACTTATCGTTGATTTCATCCTTCATGCTGTGCACTTTCCTAGGGAGTTCCATCGTATCATATGCATTTGGTTCCTACAAAAACTATGCGCCGAAATGGACAGATAGTAGGTGTCAACAACACTCTAAATATGCGATTGACTAGATTGTCTTACGTCTTTAAGTAATTGATATGCCTCTTGTAGTTTTTCAACGAAGCTTTCTTCGCTGGATGATCGTTCATTCGTTAGCTCTTCACTGTATAGCATTGTCGCGCCAACGATGGCAGTAAGTTATGCGAGTAGTAGCACCCTCATTCTGAAGCCCGTTTACACAGCCGACAAAGTCAGTTGACTTTTTTTTTGAAAAACCAATTTTGTTCCTTGTTCATTTTCGCTGATCAGAGCTCTATCCTTAACGTTTAAGTGAACCTTGTTTTTGTTGGAAAACAAATCATTACTGTTACCTTTTCTTCTACTTTTTGGATTAACGTTTGCATTGGTTTGCAGAATTACGTATGTTTCGTCCATCACCACTCTTCACGTTCGTCATCAGTAATGTCAGTCAAAGACGGCTTTGTTATTGAACATTATTCGTTAGTAGTACATGCATTGACAAGCAAGGGAAGGGGCCCGAAGCTCCAACCTGTGTCAACGATCAAAAATCTGAGATACCGTTCTGTACGCCAAACAGTCGAAGATGAGGTGAGCCGGACACGTAATGCGTATGAACGACAACCGATGTACAAGAGCCGTTAGCGACTCGATACCTCGGGATGTCAAACGCACTGCAGGAAGACCACCGCATCGATTGTCAGAGTTCTTCACGAAAAGCCTAGAAGAAAGATATGATGGTCAACGACTACCTAGGCGACAGGGAAAATGGAAGATTTACTGGCGCTCGTTGGGGTCACTTGACAATCAACGGGACTGAAGGTGATACAGGTGATATGCATTAAAGCATTTCACTTGCCACCTACTTATTGCATGGTGGCATTTTCCTCGCACCTTTTTTAACTCGAATGATTTTCCCAATACCATGATATTTTTCACATCAATGAGGAAAAAGACGCCTCTCTGCTAAATTTTAAGTACACAACTGTTTGCTTTTTCTCTGGTGTATTAGAAAACCCGTTCTCATGCGAAAGGTTTCCCAGCCACTAGGAAATACTCTTTTTTCTTGGTCTTTCATTTTTCACACATCCTCATCAACGGAAATTCATATTTGGTGAAATTCATCTTCGCATGAGAACCAACGCACGTGTGTGGGAGGCAAGCGTGTAGATACACTGTGTAAATGTACTGGCACAAAAAAAATCATTGATTTTTCACGATACTCCGTCGAATCTTTCCTTTGAAGCTCGTTTTGTGGACAGAAGATCCCCAGATCAATCCCGCTAACGGATGATTGCTGATGCAGAGATCGATAGAACTAGCTGAAAGAAAGGCGAAAGGAAGGACACGCATGGCGTGGTGGCGAACGCGTTACTCCCCGGAAAGGACATTAGCGCGTTCGTTCCCCACCGCAGACACCTGCGCTCCGGAGTTTTGCAAAAATATCTCAGCATCATTGAAGTTATATTTCGCAGTATACCCTGCCACTAAAAAGAGTAGGCAGTAAGTAATAAAAAAAGAACTAAAAAATAAATAAATAAACAAAAAATAAAATAAAAAATAATGAAAATAAAAATAAAAAATAATAAAAATAAAAATAAAATTAAAAAAGTTTTTTAACAGTTCGCAAGACTGACCTTCTACTAACCTCGGCATTGGATTATAGATTTGTTGTTCTCTTTTTTTTTACAGCAATCGCAAAGTTGTTATTCAGCACACGTTTACTTCCTCACAAATATAACACAGACAACACAACGTTAGCTGACGTTTCGGCAGTGTCGCTTTCTTCAAAGCCTGGAAGGGTACACTGATACGTAATTATTACTACAGTACTTACCTGTACACTGCTACTCATACCGTATAGTCGTAATGCTCAGCTCAGATCAGAAAAACCTATACTGTGTTCGGTGTCCAGGGGAATATATTTCCCATTTTCAACATATCACCACTACTTCTTTCACTTCCCAAAATCAAAGATAAGGATTGGATGAGCAGATATACGTTCCCATAGGCTGAGAGAAAGAAAAGCGACAAGAGCTAGTGGAACAGTGAATGCGAGCTCCCGTAAAGGGTAATCAAGGGTTTGTTTCTGCCCTGGAGTCTGAGCTTTCGAATATCTCAGTATCAACGTGGTCGGATGTTCCAATGATTGAAAAAAAAATGAGAAATGGTAAAAGTCTTTCTAACAGTAAATTTATCTCTTATGAAAGTTTACAGTTTTTTTTCAGATCAAAGGCGTGAGTGGAGCAGCGGTCGAAGGCGCCCTGCAACACAGACGTGGAATCGATCTCCGCACCCATGGCTCACCGAGCCTTCCATCCCTCCTGGATCGGCAATTGGTAATAGACTTGTCTGGGAAGATAGCAGCACTGGCTCGATACATCGGTAGGCCATCGCGAGTCACTGTAAAGGCCAGATTTGCACTCAATCACCTCTGAACGATGCTTAATGATGCCGAATGCATGGCACATCCCTCAGGGATTGATCAACGCGAAAAGCTTCATCCCTTATTCCTTATCCTTTATCCTTTTCCAGATCATTACAAGACAGATCTATCATTTTTTTCTTGCTGATTACGCAGAAAAAATTTTTCTGATGATGCCCCAAGTTAAATGAGAAAGTGGCCATTACCACAATCCGCATGCATATTTTTGATCACATAGCCAGTTGACGAGCGATGTCAGAAAAAAAAGTTTCTTTGCATTGCATAACGTGCTTTTGATGAAACTGGAGGAGAACGTCAGGGACGTCGTACAACGTAATCGTAGTTCTAGAGATCTTAAGTTCTTCACAAAAATTGGTGGCCGCCAATAAATTTAAGTGAAACCGAGTACTGTATGTATTTGCACGTATGTTTGCGTACATAGACGTATATGTATATATATATATATATATATGTATATACACATGTATATATACGTATATACATATGTATATATATGTATAGGTAAGTATATGCGCATATATATATCTATATATATATATATATCTATATATATATATATATATATATATATATATACGGATACTTGCAAAATACATGCAGCGGACCTATACACATATTCCAGTCAATATTTGAAAGTGTTTCTGCAACCTGTGCTGTGTCTATGTTATTCATTTCATCCAGTAACTGTCGCTCTAACTGTGATTTTTTACAAGACTCAGTTGTCAGTCAAATTTCCAGTCGATGAGCTCGTTTGTGGAAAATTCCAAGTGCCACAAAGAGTTTTTTTTTTCGACTGAATCTTTCCACAACACTTGCATTGTATGAGCTTTCAAATGATTACAACAAGTGCTGAAAAGCGGTTTTGTGCGCCAAAATGAACCATAAGAAAAGGAATGACCCACATTGACCGCATACCGGCCATTGGAGACGCTGCGTATGACAGTATAGATGTATCGGCCCTCATGTCTAGTGCAGAACAGTGTCAATATATAAGGATGAGAAGCTTAACCAAGTTTTTTTTATAACAAAACCAAGCACTTGTTTTGTGGCAGACAGAGAAACTTTGCGGTCCTCTCAATATTAAGGCACACTTGCTAACGTTGAAAGGGAAATCATATTCACTTATTCTTTACAACGCCTTTGCTTTTCTTACAATTTTTCATTTTTGAATAGGTTGCATATATAAAACAAATATATACACATGGATATCATGTGGACATTTTCTTGCCTCCTACTATAATTTTTCACGGCAAGGTATGATGTGAAATATAACCACAGCGAAGCTGAGATAATCGCATTTGCTGCCTACTTGTGCTCCCTAGATCAATCCCGTTGACCTGTGCTTGGTGATGGCAGCGTTAGGTAGAAAACTAGCTGAAAGAAGCACAAAGCAAAGACCTCAGTGGTGCAATGTGAAACACCTGAACCTCCGAAAGGGGTAATCGTCGTTTGATCTGGCCGTAAGTCCATGTTTAGCGAATACCTCAACATCGTTGTGGTTATATGAATATAATCATATGTTTAAAAATTTATTGCATTTCTTTCCGTTTATTTTTTTTTGTCTTGAAGAAGTCTTCCAGCCATTTATGAAGGTTACCGAATTTTCTGGCAGCAACGACCGCTTTTCGTCAGTCTAGTGGCGGCCGATTTTCACTTCGTCTCTTGTCTGGATGCCGTTTTCAAAGTGTTCGACAGGATTTATCGTTCTCATGTGTTCGAAATGATTTATACACGTATGTTTTCTTGCATGTGTGTATTCATTCTTTTGTGTGTGTGTGTATATATATACATGTACGTTTTTACGTTTGTATGTACGGACGCATGTATGTGTATATATCTGTATGTGTCTATATCACAACAGTCCATCCTCAGCGCTTTCGTTCAAACTGAACACGTTGCTGCGCTCGTTTGCGAATTCCGATTGTCAACGACTCTCTCATCTCAATCGTCAGCGCATCCATTCCGTTGTTCGCCTTTCTGTTACGCTCATAACGTACGTCACACTTAACGGTGTCTTCAACAGTCACATCATACAATGCCGATAGATGCTTTGTTGTTGTATACATGATGATCGGGCCAATTTTTCTTTTTAAGCACTTTTTCTTGCTAGACATTTCGACACATTTTACCGTAACTACTATGCACGCTATCTCTTTCCACCCATTACCTTATTCTAGGTTTCCTTCTTCATATAAAGCGTAAAGGATAAGGCGTACAGCGTTGATCAGTCGCTTAAGAATTCGTCTTGCATACGACATCAGCAGACATCGCTTGACTGAAAACATTTTTGGTATACATAATCACTTATCGGTGTACCGCGTCAGTGTTTTTTCTTTAGTGCCAAATTTGGTGTCACTTTTCCGAACCTAAGAGATGTAAAGCCTGATTAATCCAGGACGCGGCTTCGAAACTGGAATCAAGTGTGCATTGCTAGCATCTCTATCCACGCTACTAGGCTGATCCCTTTCACTCACTATCAATCAGGAATAAATGATTGAGTATCTTGATAACAATAACATCTGGTAGAGGTTTTTCTCACTGATCGGCTACCAAATTTAGTTTCATCGAAAATACTGTCCATTGAAGTGAAGTTACCAGACCGCCATTGTATTACGTGACTACAACATTCCGTTATCGAAGGCGGGAAATTAACTCAGGTGTGACAAGTTGTCGATTTTCACGTGCACACTTCCTCAACAGACGAAATTAA